GGGGATATGCACCTCAGTTTAAACAGCCAGAAAGCATCTATTTTTAACAATAAGTATTAATTTTAATCATAACTCAAGACAGGAAGGTGCCAGTTGCACCCAAAATTGAAGTCAATCATGTTCACAATAATTTTACTTTTATCATTACTTCCTCTAGTTTTAACTGGTCCCACAAGACAAGTCAATCAACCAATACAACCTCAAGCCCACCCTGGAAACAGCAATCTACCCTTTTCTGACTGAGGACCATGGACTCAGATTTGGAGGTGCTGAGCCTGATCCCAGCTGTGGACCAATCTGACGCCAACAGAACCACATCATCTGCAAACATCAGAGATGGAATCCCGAGGCCACCAAACTGGACTCCCCCTGTTCATGAAGGTTACCTGGATTAATTATGTCCATACTGGACAAAATATTCAGATGGACTTTAGGCTAAAGGGTGAGAGGATGAGTTTGTTCATTAAATAGTTATTTTTCATTGTGCTGATGTCATTATTCTGAATCCTGCCTGAGACAACAAGGCTGAGATTATCTGTGTTTGAGTGACAGTTATAGACTTTAATTAAACTTTATTACAGGGATTAAAGGAGGATTATAAACAGATATTACATCTGAAACTGCAAAATATCACCCAGATTCACCACGTCAGCCTCTGAACCATGACCCAGACGTGACCCAGACCACCGACAGGTCATGGAGGGCGGAGTGAGGTCATCACCTGATCTGAAGGGGTCTGGAGGGGGGCTAAAGAGTCTCAAATCAGCCAAGATCAAAGCCAAATGCAGGGCTGAGTTCTTCCAGATTAATATACCACAGAAGAAGACAGGTGGACAATAAATACCACAGAAGAAGACAGGTGTAAAACTGAGATTATTGGATTGAATCAGAACTCTTCAATCCAGACTGGACCTCGGGACAAATGTTCTGTTTGTCTCCTGGTCCTCCAGGCTGAAAGGCCAGACCTGCACAGGCAGACCCAGAAGGACTCAGACAGACCAGGCAGATCCGGATCACCGCTAATCCTGATCCAGTGTTTACGACCTATTGTTACCCCGCGGTGCTGTTGGCACGACGGGCTCAGCTGACTGCACGGTGCGCGTGCGTGCGCCGCTGGTAAACTGCACTGCCAAACTCCCACCGAGCCAGCAGCCCGGCCCGGCCCGGCCCGGCCCGGCCCGGCCCGGCCCGGCTCGGCTCGGAATGGCTGCAGAGGCCAGCTCCAAACGCACAACAGAACCAGAACCTCTGGCCTGTTAGCCCACAGATCCTACCCGAACTGAGCTCTCCTGGCGCGGCTGTCTGATAGAATGATGCCGGACAAAAGGTTCGGCCGGACCGGACCGCCTGCGGTGTTCAAGGCCGTAGAGGCGGGTCAGCATCGAACCGAACCGGGTCAGCCTCTTACCTTTTTATCCAGCCGGAGAAAACAAAAGATGCTGCAGAGATTCTTCTCCGTTAGATGTGTCCGTTTGCTCGGCCTGACAGCATCCTGTTCACCGTGAACAGCAGGCCGAACCGGACCCGAGCTTCCGCCTGGACTTTCACAATAAAAGTCAAAGTCTCTCTGCTGATCGCTTCAGACAATAAAAAAAAAAATCACAACTTGAAACGTTTGCGATTAAAACAACTAGTCTGAGATTTATGTATTTGAAAATAATTGCTTTTCTAAAATTAATCTCTGCTATAAATATTATAAAAAGTTTTTAACCTTTTATTATTATTATTATCAAATTTATTCATTTAATCTAAAAAACAAAAACAAAACACATTTACATGCAACAAAACAATATTAATCAAAAATGAAAGGTAGGAAAAGAAGAAAAATCCTATAATATCTGCTCCTAACTTTTTTATTAGAAATTTTGTTATAAAACAATTTAGCATCTGTTAATAACCAATTATTGCTACAGTTTTGGTTTTATTTTCCTGAGCTTAAAATAGGTTGATTTACAAAAAGTAAATGTTTTGTTCGTTTAATCAAAACAACCAAATTAATAATCCCGAATTCTTTATGAATTATGTTCTCTTGTCTATTTATATGAAGTCCTAAAGCAGGTTTTTTTAAAAAATGATGCGAAGTAGTTTTATTATGAAAGGTGTTACGAGCCAGTTTCCGGAGAGTTTTCTGATTTCCGGTAACTTAACGCAGCTCAGACTCTGAACGCTTATGAAGGCAGCTCAGACTGCAGTCCAGAATTACTTATCTAGTAAATTAATTCTAAATATTCACACTAGTTCTGAGTTTTTATTTTATGTTTCAGTGTTTCTGGTTGTTGTTGTTTTATTTTACAGCTTTTATTTCAGCGACCAGCAGCTTCCCCCACTAATGGACCCGTCCGCTCATATAAAGGGCTAGTGACCCGAACTTGCACTGTTATTAACGATGTTGGATGGACGGATGGATGGATGGATGGATGGATGGATGGATGGATGGATGGATGGATGGATGGATGGATGGATGGATGATGGATGGATGAATGA